ATGCTACGCAACATACATTTTCAAAAGTGGAATAAAGACCGTTACAATTTTTGAAAACTATATATGAAATGTAAATAAGGGGTCTGGAAACGAGATTAACACCGGCTTAAGTTCTTGGATAAGCAAAGTTTCTTTAATGTTACAATGATAATCTGTTTTACCAGAAGCTAGAATATCAAAATGATCCCACTTGATGTTGTAACCTGTGGCTTTTATATGGTCGGCAATGGCTGATGTGGGGTCATTCTTAGTGAGAGCCCTGAAATGTTCCGTTTTCCTATCATGAAGCTACTTTTAGCACAGGGAGCCCTCACATCCGTTTAGAACATGAATAAAAGATGAACCTACCTTTATCGCGCGTGTTTTGTGGCGGCCATTTTGAATTTTTAATACCCGCGCGGTGTGCTAGTGCGAGGTCTGGAACCGAAATTACGGAAAATTGCTCGGAGCCTGCTCGGAGCTCTAAGAAAATGACAAGGTCACTTTATTATCCTCGGTGAGCGATCGGCTACCCCCGAGAATTTACGAATTTTCCGGCCCGTCCCAGACTTCCGTAATTTCGGCTCCAGACCTCGCACTAGCACGCCGCGCGCGTATTAAAAATTCAAAATGGCCGCCACAAAACACAAAACACGCGCGATAAAGGTAGGTTCATCTTTTATTCATGTTCTAAACGGATGTGAGGGCTCCCTGTGTTTTAGCAGTGATTTGAAAAGGCGATTACCCGTTATTGATGGTCAGCGGCAACCCAACTAAGAGACTCGAGAGTGAGGCAGAAATAACAAATATGGCGGACGAAACGTCTGGCCTTGGGTTTGGTCGAAAGTTCACTGAAGCTGTTACTTCAAATTTAGGTCGTTAACACTGAAATGGGATGCGAATTATCAAAGAGTACATTGTTTCGTCGAAGTCGCAATGAAACAGCCAGAGATCGTGGAGAAGGCAGAGGACGTGTTCTGGGGAGAGATGACGGGAGAATTCCAACACATGACCGAAATACAAAGCATGAAGACTATCAATTAAAACCTTCAGACATAATAACAATAGACAAAGAAGCTGTCAGCGAGCTCCTTCAAGTCGGTTTAGACGAGAAAATTGCAAACGAACTTGTAGTGCTTCGCGAGAAAGGTTCTCTGAAGACCGCTGGGGATCTCGTTGCTGTGTTGGAGAAAAATAATACAGATTACAAAGTCCAACTTGAAGACAGCATTCTTGTTAGAGTGAGCTCATTGGGAGATCTTAGTTGTGAAAAGGTTAAAGAAAAAGTTATTCTTAATTCAGCAGATAAAATAAATATTAATACTGTTTCAAAGAAGTCGTTAGAAGCGATAAAAGGTATTGGACCAACTCTTGCTGGCAGGATTGTACAGTACAGAGAGGAACATGGCCCATTTGAGAGAGTTGAGGACATTGTTTCTGTAAAAGGTGTAAGCAAGAAACTTCTGGAGAAAATAGTGTTACAAATAACTGCTGTTTCTTCAAAGACTCCTAAAATCCCAAAATTACCTCTGCAAAGTAATAAACATGTGCGCATTGCAACCTGGAACTTGCTCTCCTTTAGTTCACATAAAGCAGACAATGATGGTGGTAGAGAGGTGGTTTGTCGTACAATTTTAGAAAATGGGTAAGTATATATGTAACCATCACTAAGCAAATCAATCTTTTTATGTTACACTTAGGCAATTTTTTTGTTGCAATACAAGCTGAACAAATGATTGCTTGGTATAACACCCTCAGAAATGGACATGGCTTGCAATATTTTTGTCCTAGCAAACATTGCACAAAGTAGACTCACATTCTACTTTCTGCAACGAAAATGCTGCAAATGTTACTTTCAGTGGATATTACATTACAAGACATCTCATGGAACTTGTTTCACAACAGTACAACAAAACTGAGACAAGTTGCAAGCAAAATTGCTTAATAACAGCCCCTTTAGTGTGCATGGTTTCTAGGTATTTCATTGTTCATTATCAATGTTGTCATTGTCAAGCACACACATCTTTAGATGTACCAGTAGCTTAACTGTGTACTCTGTAGTTTTAAGTGCAACTGACAGTTATACATAACAGACTGCTAACCTTTTTAATAAGCTAAGCAATTCCATTGAATCTCAGCTGCTTTGTAATCATTTCTTTCTTTTATACAGTGTTTGTACACCATATTTCGTACTCGTAAATTATTTTATTTGGTTTGCCGTCACCCCTCCTTTTCTTGTCAATAGACAGAAGGGAGAGCATCAATTGCTCCTGATGCTTAAACTCTTGACTAAATTGGTCAAATATATGGTCTTTCATCCTTTGAACAACCAGGGTATACAGTTATAGATGGTAAAAAGTGGCATTTACAAATGGTACATTTTTATCAGTTACATGCAGTTAAATGCTATTTAACAGAGTTAACAACAACAAGCCTGCAAATAACAGTTGGTCATCGGACAATTGTCTGGTAAATTTGAGGTTTTGACAGGTAAAAGTTTAGCCTGGTCGGACACTCTGACCGGACATTTCTGCTAAAATGAAAAACATTTTAACTGGAAATTTGTGGCCGAATATGTTACAAGTTATTTTGTTGGACTGCCACACGAATACTACGTAAAAAAGCTTTGTTATCGGTTTTGTTTTTATTCCAATTCTGAGAATTTTATCACGCACAATGCGCCGTCTCAAATGTTATGTTGAATTGTAAACACCCAGTGGTGTGGAATTAATTTTGTTGTAACACATTGACCTGATTAAAATATTATGGATATTGAATACACAGCCCAAATACTCATGTTTCATTCATCTGAATGCAATCGCTTTCAAAATCTTTAAAACCTATAAAACGTAACCAAATGCTTTCTAGTCCGTATGATCAAAACTCAGTTTAATTTTTAACCCTTTACAGTTTTTTACATCTGTCAGTGTGGTTGAAATATAGTTTCCATACCACAGATATGTTTTCGTGAAAAGCGTGAATGTACAAATTAGTCATACTTTATAGTCACGACCGCCTCCAATTCCACATTTTAAATAATTACGCAAATTTTTTATTCAATTGACCCCGAAAACTTTCAGAGGAAACTTGCTTTCAGAAAAAGTGGAAGAATTCATTTCAGCCAATTTTCAAGTCTCGGAATGTTGTTGTGAGCTTTTATACTGACAAGCTGTCCACGCGGGAGATTGTGTTTCATCGCTTTTCCCGTTTTCACTAGATGCCGTGGGAAACTTGTTACGTTGGAAACGCTTGTGTGACTAGGGGTATAAAGTTTGTTAATTTGTCAATTTTCAACAGGTAAAATAATACCAGACGTAATGTAAAGGTCCCTTTGCTGGTGCTAGTAGCGATTTTACATTCAGTTGACTATTAAGCTACTCGAATTTGCAAACAATATTTTGGCAAAGAGTCTACACTGAAATACCGAAATGTCTCAAATGTCTCTTTTTAATTTCTAACGGTAAAAAATTTTTTTTGTCCGACCAGACTGGCTTTTTGTCAGGTCAAAACTTGTCTTTGTCCTGACGAATGACCTGCCTATAGACAAACATTATTTGCAGGCTTGCAACAAGGAGCACATGTCTCAACTTTGTGGTTAGCAGCATTTAGATATTCCACATGTTCTTGGACAAAAGGTTGTTGTAGTGGTTTGCATTTAGTGAGCCTTTTCTTGTCATTGGCATTTTCTTGAACATGGGGGCCCTTTTCAGAGGCTGTTTACCCTTCTCTGCCTCCCACTCTTTCCACTGTTTTATCAGTGTGATGGGTGCCTGTTTATCTCCCTTGCATGCGAGGAATCATGGCTGGGTTGCCAGGATTTGCCAGGGCAAACTCCATCTAGGAGCTGGCTGCTAATAGGGGGAGCTCCTGGATGTCACAGGCACCCAAACTCCACTCTGTGGGGCAGTTGTTAACACCTGATGAAATGAATGCTACGGGAATGTAGGTACTTAGAAAACATTAAGCTCACTCATTAACAAGCCCAGCTGGCTTTTCTGGTCTTAGTAGGTCCAAAATGTCAGCCGGATTTTAGTTTTTCTTTTCTGCCAGCGAAATTAGTTGACAGCCGGCCCTCTGCTGCATCCCTGATACTAGTCAAAGTGAAGCTCATAAAAATGATTACTGTTCTTTTTCACAGAATTGATATTCTAGCCATTCAAGAGATTGCAGATGCTGCTGCTTTGAACAAGGTGAATATTAGAGATTTCATGACATTTATGGGCTACATGGATATTATAGGGCTTTAGGATATGCACAATGGTCTCTGTCAGTGTTGATTTGACTTTCTTATACCCTCAATTTCTTTTACAGATTAAAGATGAACTGAATAATCCTACTAATGAATTATTGAAGAATTTCATATCTCATGGTGGACGTTGGGAATGTTGTACTTCTGATGTTGCAGGCTACATGTTTAGGGTATTGCACATTTCCCTCAGAGGCTAATTTTGATTTGCTTATAAGAAAACTGGATGGTACTAGAGATCTTTTCTCAGAAGCAGCGCCATAGAAATTTCAGCTCCATATTATGATTTTGGTTTTAATTTCAGGAATTTTTGGTTTCAATGGTTTGCATTTTGAAAATTCAACAGCCATCTGTTTGCTTACTCCCTTGCTCTTGTTGGTCAAATGGAAAGTGCTACTACTCACTGTCAGTCTTCGATAACAATCTCTGAACCATGGCCAAAGAGAGTCTTAACTCAATACAATTCTGAAATATGATCACTTTGAACCACAATATTATTATAGAACCACTCTATCTTGAATTTCGTTATCTCAAATGCAAATCATTTTCTCATGGATATGCTTTTTCAATCAGTTACTATTGGCTATCTTGGACCCCCAGCATCTTGTCCGAACTATTTTCCATTTCCTTATAGAGTTTGAGGAAACAGGGTTCAAATGTAGCAGTCAAAATAATGTCTGTTGATGAGGCTATCACTAAATACCCCATATCATTGATATGTTAGGTTGCCCTCACAATTTGCTATTAACAATATAAGTTATACTGTTTACTCCCTGTTGAGGAGAGGAACTGTATGAGTGAAGTGCCTGGCCCTTACAAAACAATCACCTTTTAAACGTGGGTTACTCAATCACTTTAGGATCCACCATGTGCAAACCATTAGCTCAAGCAGTTTAAGGCCTGGGTCAGGAATGTAAAGTAGAATTGTGGTTGGGCAGCTACATGTATCTTTCTTGTTATATTTGTTTTACCAAGCTGAACTTTTCCCTGATTATAAAACTCAACATCCTGCCTTACCTTAACATATTATTTTGATCACGTGACATGTCACATGAGCATTTATTAAAATTTGGTAACTGGGCGAATTGGTGGTGAATTTTTATTTTATTGATCAATAAATGAGCATTTTGATGCAAATTTAAATTATCTACCTTGCTACGTTTGGAATGATCTCCCTTGATTTCATTTATATAGAAGATATAAACAATCAAAAGTCGAATTTTGTTGAAAAAAAAGGCCTTTCCCCCTATAAAATTTTTCTGTGAAAAGAGGGATGGTCATTCCAAATGTGAGAGGATGGAAATAATTGACTTGCATCTAAAACGCATTCTTGCAAGATGATCTTACTAAAAACCGCTACCAATTCCTCAAATAATGGCTATTTTCTGCTATACGTCACGTGACATATCACATGACCTGTCAGAAGTACCAATTCTACTTTAAAATATTTCAGGACGTCAAAACTTCACTGTGTGCTACTGTAAATCTGGTTCCATTGCCATTTATACCTTCAGAAATATAACTAATAAATTATTTTCACCAGTAAAAGCCTTTGACCCAGGCCTTAAACTACTTGAATAGCTAAGACCAGCATAACACCCTTAAGCCTTTGCCATCCTCAATTTGTTTCTGACTGTCACTTATTAATAACTTATGGAAGACAATTAATTCTATAATGTTTTTACAGTCAAAGGAATACAATGGTTTTGTTTGGAATATGTCATGAGGTATTAGCTTAAAGAGTGATGCTCTTCTTGAAAAACCAAAGGACAGAAGGACAGAAGCAATTTGCCTGGAGACCATACCTTGGTTTCTTCAAGGTACTGTTCAGGTTTGAGTACTTTGCTTCAGAAATGTGTAGATGCTAGAAGTTTTTTGGAATGTTATTGAGTTGCATGAGATGTGAGATGAATGAAGTGTTAAGTCTAATGCCATCTGATTGGCCTCAGTACAACACATCAAAAACAAATCAAGGATGTTTGTGCTGAAAACCTTCCTTCTGTCTTAGTCTTTTTTAAAAGACTATTTTTGGTAGTGCTGTTAGATTATGTCAAACACATTTTAGAGAGTAAAAAAATGGAGGACCACAGTGTTTTACAAGCTTTTGTCATTTAAGGTGATGAAGGTTATATTTGATGTCAGTTTAAAAAATGCACCAGAATGAACAACTCTTGGCCAGGTTGTTCAAAGCCCAATCAAGCTAACCCAGGTTTAGCAAAAATTTTGATTTCAGTTTTGTAACTTTTCTGTGAGGTTTTCTGTTTATATTGTTTGGCGTTCAGTTTATAGTCTGAATAATCTCAATCTACACAAGACATAATAAGGAGACAAAATCATTTTTTGCAAGAAAAATCAATACTTTGGTTTAGTTTTAAATATCCTGGGTTAGCATTAACCAGCTCTCGAACAACCCGACCCTGGACAAGGAATTTGAGTTGAATTCCAAGCAAGTTATCGTGCTGAGTAGATATTTGCATTCTGTTGAATAGAATTAACTTCATAGAAGGACATAACTTCCCAGCCTTACACAGCCCCATATTACAGAAATGTTGTCTTGTTTGAGAAAAAATAGACATTACATAGAACTATTTACCCTCACTTTGTGAAAGTGGAGATATAATCAAATTTGGTGATCTACATTTTTATGCAAGAAAAATCAATACTTCTGTTTAACTTTAATCGTAGGCTAAGGCATTTAAGGCAATCTGAGTTTTCCACTCCTAGGTATAACTCTGTAATGTACAGTAGGTACTTACTGCAATATTTAGGACCCAAACTATGGGGAAATTGTCTACAGATGACAGATCAGCCAAAACACTTAATGAGTTTAAAAGGCACATTGTGGCACAGACCTAACTTAATAGAAGCCGGCTGCAAGGGTTGTATCCTCTGCTCAACATGACACTCTTAAATCCTATTTATTTAGTAAAATTGAATAAAAATTAGAATTTTTTACATTAGATCAGCTATCGACACATCACCTAGAATGTTTAGCCTTATCTTTAAAATGTTTTAGATTGCATTGCATTTTGTATTATTCATATTTCAGTGTAGATATTTTAGTCTTCTCAGTTTTGTGTTTTGTATCAGTCCATGTCCCCTTTTAGTATGAGTTTCTCCCAGGCTACATAGTTTGACACCTTAAGAACGAATAACCAGGTTTACCAGGTATCCACGATTTGTTAAATAGGATCATGTAAAATTATTGTGCACACCAGCCACTAGTTTCTTGCTTTTTGTACACACTTGATCAAAGACATGGTAACATGGACTGCACAGATAAGATAAACACAAGCATTTATTGTTCGTGAATATCTCATCTGTTCTGCCCATGTGAAACATAAATGTCTCTAAGTTTGGCTAACCTTGAATTTTTTCATTCAGCTCACTTAGACTTATTATTTTATAGCATATAATATTTAATAGACCAAGAAATTTATTAAATGGAATCATGTAAAGTTACTGTGCACACCAGCCACTAGTTTCTTGTTTTGTGTGCACACTTGATCAAAGACTCTGTATCATGGACTGCACAGATAAGATATATACAAGCATTTGCCGCACAAATTTTTAAATTTAGCCCTAAGGGACAGAACATAATTAGCTCCGATTTGCCGATTTGCATAGTATAAGAACGTGCCTTTTCAACAAATTCCTTGTCACTTTCCCCTGATGAAGGCTGAAGTTTTAGCCAAAACGTTGGGACTTTTACAAAAAGAATTTTTACTAACATTTTTACATTTTTAAACCAGAGTAACGTTTTTCAATCATGAATCAACCACCTGGTTAGAGGACCATTTTTAAAAAGCATTTGTTTTTTGTGAATATCTCATCTGTTCTGTCCGTGTGAAACATAAATGTCCCAAATTTTGGCTAACCTTGAATTTTTTCATTTATCTTGCTTAGACATATTTATAATGTATGATAATTATTTAATAGGCCAAGAAGTTTGACTTTGTGCTTGTCAGTGTCCACTTAAAAGCAACAGGATTAGGAAATGCTGATATAGCAAGACTTGAGGTAAATTATCCCAACTTGTAAAAGCTAAATCTTGTTCCCAACGGTCACAATCCTTTTGGAACCAAAATTTGTCACAGCAGTTGCTCTATCTATGCATGTTCAGAAGGATTTTCTGGTTTCATATTTTTTTAATTTTGCCCAGAGCATGGGATATTTGGTCACCCTTGATTGAAAACATGCAAGCTCTTTCGACTCATACTAAATTCTTAAAAATTTTCGTTTTGCTTCCTGTTTAACATTTTTTAAATGAAAGATCAAGACCACTTGATTGATGCTCAACACTAATGAACACTCATTACTTCTTTCATTTGGAACATAGAAAGAGCTGGCTCGAATTCCAGACCTGGTACAAGCACTGCAGATACACCTACCAGGTAATGATCTCTGATCAGTTTAAAATGTCAATCTTTTCAATTGACAAGGTAATAAATTTCACTGAAAGCCTGATGTAAACTGTGGGATTGAAAACAAGAAGAATTGAAAACAAGCTTTCATCCCCTGTGGTGGGGTGGATGGGGGACTAATGACAGGGGAGAGGTGACTGATGATGTACTAGTCTCTCTCATTGCCTAAGTTCTTATGTTTGGAAAAATACCTACTGAATGATAGACCGAATGCATAAATAATAGTGCCAAATTTGAATTACAATATATTTGTAAACCTTGGCCATCCACCTCTAAGGTGCCGTCTCATCCAGGTCAAGCCAAGGTATTCTGACATATTTTTATTCAAATTTAATGCCATTGATGCAAAATCAGTCTATATGTACGTATTACCAAACATAGACTGCACAATACTAAAATCGTAATAATGTTCTTGCCACTGTGTTTCATGTTTTTCAGGCGAAAAAGACATGATGATTCTTGGAGATTTTAACCTTGGACCTGAAGAAGAAGGTAAAAAGAGAAAGCTTGTATATAAATTAGGATAGAAATTTCTATTTTTAAACAGTTTTCACGCATCAGTGACTCACTGTGGTCAATCACGGACACAGACAATACAGTGAACCAATCAACACTCGAAGCAAATACTACATGTAGCGGACGCAGAGCGCGGGAAAACGTGTGGGAGCGAACGTGTGCAAGTTTCTAAGGTCCAGTTCAGACGTGGTGCTTTTGCCGTGCCGAACTAAATTCAGGAATTGAGTTCGACAAAAGCACGGCAGAAGCACGGCGTCTGAATCAAACTTTTGAATTAAGTTCGGCAAGCAATTAGGTTTGACAAGCTCTGCCGTTTGCTACACGACTCTGGTACGGCAGCGATTCAAACGTCGTGCTTCTGCCGCGCTAAACAAAATTCATAAATTATATTAATGTATTTTGGCGAGATTGCGTTCCCACGGGGAGTCTGGAGGAGAACTGTTACGAGGCATCAGTATATCCTGAATTTGGTTTGAATCTGGCTCGACGTCTGAATCAGAGTTGTTTTCCTGCTGTGCTACAGTGGAACCTAATTGCAATATAGTTCGGCACGGCAGAAGCACGACGTCTGGACTGCCGGGGCCAAAGCCACTCGCTCAGCGCAGTAGAACCGAAGCTATTGCAAATATATAACTTTCGACATTCAAGTGAAAAGTGCTCTAATCAATCAGGTTTCCTCCAAACACTATTACATAGGAACAAAACTTGAACCCTCACCCTCTTAATTTCTAAGTTGCGTTTCTTTGTAGATTTTGATGCCATGAAGAAAGGTGGACTGGAGAATTTAATTCCAGGTTCCACGTTCACTAACATCAGCGTGAAAAACATGAAGGGATCCAAGAATTATGATAATATCTGGATCAGCAAGCATGCTAAATTACACCACTTTACTGGACAGGCAGGTGAGGAATGAATGATTTAATACTTTGCATTAATACTTTACTTTAAACCCCTTCCCGTTTGCTTTTTTTTTTTTTTTTCAACAACAACGGACTCATTTTAACTCTGCCGCCTCCTTGTTTTGCAGCGCAAAAAGGCGCCTTTCCCCCTGTTCAGCAAAACTGGGTTAGTCCCTGTAAGTCTAAAACATGATCTAAAGATGTTCATGACAAAAATGCCTGCAGACGTAGTTTCAAAGCAGGTTTTCTGTATCTAATAGCGCCCCCCAAAAAATACAAGAATGAAGAAGTTTTCTCCAGAGCGGGCCAAAGTCCCAAAGTACAGTATATAATTGTTTGATACCAATGACTGTAATTTCTCATCCTGTCTGTTTTGTGCCTTAATTTTCGTCTTTTATGAGACAAGTTAAGGCTTTAAATTGATTGAAACACGTACGAAAAGCAGAAGTTTTGTTGAAAACAAATGAAAGCGAGCGAGGTCTCCTTAACTTTATAACTGGGACCGTTTCCCTGTTATTTCTTAGTTCCAGCCTCTATCTGTGGCCACGATGTCTTAGAAGGTGCATTCATTCTGTGAGAATTCAATAGCCTTACTTAGCGTGTCTTTTTTGTTTTTCTTCGGCAGGGGTGGTCAGAGAAGACCTTACCCACCGCTCCATACCCGATGGATGGCGCTGGAATGGCCTCGTTTCCGATCATTGCCCTGTGTGGGCTGAGTTTTACTGCGAGAGAGATTTGGACGAGACCACTGGTCCAACGAGTGTTGATAATATCGCTATTGATGGAAAAGAAAAGACTAGTCAATTTTCATGTGAAATGAAATGAAACATTAAAAAAATTATCGTTAGGAGTACCTGTACTTTCCAGTGTAAGGTGAATATATCACTCACATATTGTGACCAGCTCCCAGTTGGCTTGATAGCTCAATAGTGGTAGAGCACCGGTATCGCAGAGGTCATGGCTTCGAATCCCGTTCAAGCCTGAATTTTTTTCCGGCTTTAATTTCACAACTGCTTAAGTTGTGTATTTAACTGCGATTATCAAACATGTCTTCATAGTAATTGTATTGCTTTCGTCAAGTGAGAGTCGTGTATAGTATTGGACGAATGAGCTTTTGACGAAGGTTGAAATAAGTATCTTGCCGGCACAAGACACAACTTGACCTGGGCGTCTAGGCGTCTTAAAACCCAACCCAGTTCAGGGCTTGGTGTATTATTAACTAATGGTTAGGGAATGTTGGCGACGTCGATTAAAGCAGTTCCCGGAGTAATTAAACTACGGACTTTAAGATATGGTACGGCTAGGCTGTAGTACGGCGGTAGTTAGTGAAGATCACTTCCGGTGACGTCATGACGCGCGTACCAGTATGGCTTTCACGCCGTAGCCTTGCTTTCTACTACGGGAAAGTGCTTGGTTTCACTTACTCTTCACTACGTGAGTATAAGCCGGCTGTTTACTTCTCATTTTAACGCTTTTTTAACTGTTTGAACAGCCGAGTTTGAAGATAAAGTCCTCAATCATGAAAATCAGTTCTAAGATCATTGTTTCGTTGTCATTTGTACAGAAAATTTGAACGATTTTAACACCTTGCGCTAGACGATCAATTCAGTCATATTAGTATCGGGCCGAACAGCCGTTTATAAGAAAGCTTCATATGTTCTAATCTGAGCTATAATTGTTTATTACTGTTCAAAATGTATTTTATTATAGTCGAAAGTTTTGTATTTTCGGGCTTATCACGTAATCGTTGTACGAACACCCCTGTCCGTGTTGAAATTGAGCTTTTTCAGTATATCAGAGTTTACATTTTGTTTTGTGGTTGGAATTACAGGCGGTTCTATCAAGTTCTAAAAGGCAAATCTGAGTTCTGGGAGATGTAAGACGGATACAGGAGAAGGAAATC